GTGTCGTGCCCATACCGGACCGGGACTGGCAACAGGATCGCAACCCTCGGTGCTGCGCCCGCCCCTCGCTCAGCCAGTGAGCGGGAACCGGTCTGTATGTGGGATCCGAACCCTCGGCGGGAGCGCCACCGCGCTCCCAAGTGGCGCACTGTAGCAGTGCGCCACCGGGCCGGCCCCTGAGAAGTTTTAAAATTGGTAATTCAGTCTCTTTACTTATTTTAGGTTTATTCCGATTTTCTATTTCTTCTTAGTTTTGGTACTTTGTGTTTTTCTAGGAATTCACCCATTTCATCTAAGTTATGTAATTCGTTGGCAGAGAGTTCTTTATAACCTTTATGATCTTCTTTATTTCTTTAAGGTTAGTAGTAATGTCCTCTTTCATTCCTGATTTTAGTTGATTTGAGTCTTCTCTCTTTTTTTCTTGTTTGTCTATGTTAAGATTTGTCAATTTTTTTTGCATCTTTTCAGAGAACCAACTTTTGGTTCTGTTGATTTTCTCTATTATTTTTCTGTTTTCTTTTTCATTTTCTGCTCTGATGGTTGTGTCTTTTTTTTTATTGAATCATAATTGATGATACATATTTTTAAGATTCAGTGTTGACACATGTTGATCAAATCAATATTACTAGTATGTATATTGTTACAAATTATACTTATTCTTTATGCCCCTTGTCCAGTCTCTCCCTCCTCCCTCCCACCACTGATAACCCAGGATTTTTTCTCTCCCTCTGAAGGAGTAATGGTTACTCTGCTGATTTGTTGCCTGGATGATCTGTCCAATGCTGAAAGGTGTGTTCAGGTCCCCCCAAATTACCATAGAATAGATGCTTCTTCTGTCACTCTGGAATGGGCTTTGTGGAGAGAGTCATTCTCTTCTTTTCTTTGGTCTCTGCTGGTGACTCTCCTTGTGTCAGTGCTCTCCAGTGGCTAGTGGGCCATCTGCGTGGTGGTTGTGATGTCGAGCCGCTTTCGTGGCAGCCGTGGTTACTGTGGTTGACATGTTGTGTCTTTTTTTTTTTTGTCTTTTTCCGTGTCCGGCAATGGATCGCAACCCTCAGTGTTGCCCCCGTACCGGACCGGGGACCGGCAACGGGATTGCAACCATCGGTGTTGCTCCCGCGCCTCGCTCAGCCAGTGAGCGGGAACCGGTCTGTATGTGGGATCCGAACCCTCGGGCGGGAGCGCCGCCGCGCTTCCCAAGCGGCGCACTTATCCAGTGCGCCACCGGGCCGGCCCCAGACGTGTTGTGTCTTTATTCTCATTGATCGCAAAGTATTTTCTCATTTTGTTGGTGACTTCTTCTTTGACATATGGGTTATTGAGGAGAGTGTTGTTTAATTTTCATGTATTTGTAATTTCCCATATTTCTTTCTGTTATTAATTTTTTATTTCATTCATTGTTGTCAGAAACATACTTTGTATGATTTCATTCCTATTAAATTTATTGAGACTTGTTTTATGGTGTAGCATTTGGTCTTTCCTGGAGAGTGTTCCACGTGCACTTGAGAAGAATGTGTGTTCTGCTATTGTTAGGTGGCTCGTGTAGTTTTAATTTACATTTACCTTATGGGTAAGGTTGAGCATCTAGTTATACATTTATGAGCTATTTGGTTTGCTTTTTCTGTAAACTATCCGTGGTCATTTTTCTTATTTTGTGGGAACTCATTGTATATTAAGAGGAAAAACCGTTTACTATATGAGAGTTGCAAATAATTTTCCTTGTTTGTTATTTTTCTATAGGGGCAAAGGGAAAATTTCCCCTTCAACCCCTTTGAGAGTTCTCAGAGAAATCAACTAATAAATAGAGGTTAATATGAAGAAAAGGCATAACAAATTTGATTATTTTAATACGCTGGGAGGGGGCAATGCATGGGGGAATTGCAAGAGAGTCATGTCCCAATTTTCCATTGGGGTGCAAAGCTTATATACTCATCTTCATAGGGAAAAGGGAGAGGTGTACATCTGGAGGTGTAGGACTAAATGATTCTTAGGGGGGTGTTCAGTGGGCTTGGAGAACATACAGTGGCCTGGGACACAATCTATTTGGCCCACAGAGCAGACAATGACTGGTAAATGGTTCTCTTCGGAATACTGGATGGGACTGAAATAGAAGACAATGGTCTGTAACAAACATCTGTCCATGTGTGTTGACAGACTTCAGTCTTTCTTGTGATATGAGTTAAGTTATTGAAAACTCAGGGAAAGGACCAGAGGTAATTGTCTTCTTTGGTGGGTCTGGACTTTAGGCAGATAAGGGAACAGCTTTATCCTGTGCTTTGGACAGAGACAGAGGATTGAGAGGTGGTGGAGGGGGTGGGTGTGGGGGGAAAGTCAGAGAGACCTTGAGGCGCCTTCTTTATTCCAGCATGTTAAAGCACTGAATTTTGAGGTAACACCTTTCTGCACCCAATAGTCTTTTGAATTTGTTTATTGTATTTATTGAGCCACACATTTTAGATTTTCATGTAAATTAATTTATCTTTTTAAAAATGATTTCTAGGTTTTGTGTCACATTTACGAATGCTTTCCCCATTCTGAGATTAGAAAATTTATTCTCTTCTACCCTTTTTAGAGCTTTATGGTTTCAGTTTTTTGTGGTTTGAATCTGATTGATTTGGAATTTATTGGCATATGGAAAAAACTTGAGATCCAACTTTATTTGTTTCTTGATGCCAGTTAGTTGGTCCCACTCTATATTAAAAATAGTCCACCTTTTTCTCACTAGTATGAATTGCCAACCTCATTATATATTAAATTCCCATTAGTTTAGGTACAATTTTTGGACCCTATATTCTGTTCTATTGTTCTATTTGTGTGCCAGTATCACACAGTTTTAATTACTGTGACTTAATAGTAAAATTTACTGTCTGGGTGGGCTATTTCTCCCTCATTACTCTTCTTTTTGGGATTTTTCTAGCAATTCTTATCCATATACTTTTATTTATAAATTTTAAAATTGAAAGGCTGGTTGGTTGGCTCAGTTGGTTAGAACATGGTGCTCATAACCCCAAGCTCAAGGGTTTGGATCCGTGTACAGGCCAGCCGCCAAAAAAAAAAAGAAAAGAAAAGAAAAGAAAATTTAAAAATTGACTTGCCTCGTTAAAAAAATTCCTGTTGGGGTTTTTATTGGACTTACATTCAACTTATAGATTGATTTGGGAATAATTGATATTTTTATAATGCTAAGCTTTCATTATTTTATTTTCTGAGTGCTATTAGTGTATAGATGTGTTATTGATTTTTGGATATTAACTTAATTCCCTGCAACTTTACTTAATTTGCTTTTTGTTTAATAGTTTTGCAGTAGATTCTCTTGGATTTCCCACATCTACACCCACACCATCTGCAGATTATGATACTCTTCTCTTTTCTTTTTTTTTTTTTGTCTTTTTTTGTCTTTTTTCCGTGTCCGGCAACGGATCGCAACCCTCAGTGTTGCCCCCGTACCGGGCCAGGGACCGGCAACGGGATCGCAACCCTCGGTGTTGCTCCCGTGCCTCGCTCAGCCAGTGAGCGGGAACCGGTCTGTATGTGGGATCCGAACCCTCGGACGGGAGCGCCGCCGCGCTTCCCAAGCGGCGCACTATCCAGTGCGCCACCGGGCCGGCCCTACTCTTCTCTTTTCTAATTCTGTTTTAATTCTTCTACTTTTTCTAAGCTAATTGCATTGGCAGGTATCTTAGAGTGATGTTAACTAGTGGACATGTGTCTCAGTCCATTCGGGCTGCTGTAACAAAATACCATGGACTGGGTGGCTTACCCAACAAACATTTATTTCTCCCAGTTCTGGAGGCTGGAAAATTCAAGATCAAGGTGCTGGCCAATTTGGTTCCTGGTGAGGGCCCTCTTTCCGGCCTGTCTTTTTGCTATGTCCTCAAATGGAGGACAGAGGAAGCTGTGGTTTCTCTTCTTCTTCTAAGGGCATGAAACCCATCATGGGGGCTCCACTCTCGTGACCTCATCTAAACCTAAAGTCCCACCTCCAGTTACCATCACAATGGGGATTAGGGCTTGAACATATGAGTTTTGGGGGCACACACATGCAGTCTGTACCAACATGCTTGTCTTTTCTGGACTCTTTCCCTGTGAAGTGGCTTCTGTAGACCTCGACTCCTAGACAATCCCCCCAGGGCCATCCACAGGGCTTAGCACACAGTAGGAATTTTGAAGGCTTTTGCCTCATTCTGAGAGTGATTAGAAAAGAGGGCAAGAGTCTGATGGACTCCTTCGACGGAAATGATCAGAACGGCTGATGTTTATTGAGCATTCCCTATGTGCCACACACTTTACAAATCTCACTTCATGTTTTCCCCACAACGAGCCCAAGTGGGAACAATCAAGCCACTCCCATTTTAGAGGGGGGTAAACTGAGGCCTGCCTGAGGCTGTGTGGCGAGGAAGTGGCAAGTCAGCATCTGAAATGGGCCTTCTGGCTCCAGGCCTGTATTTTTGGGCCCCTCCATGATGCTTTTGCTTCCCCGGAGGGTCCAGAGATATGGGCGGTGATGTCAGAGGTTGCCCTCTGACCCCTGTGTTGCTGTGGGCAGTGGGGGCTGTCAGTATGGTGGGCAGGCACCAACGGTGTGTTCTGACACTGCTCTCCTGAACCTGAGCATCTCAGCTCTGTCACACTCATTTGCTGTATGGCCTCAGGACAAGTTCTGGCTTCTCTGAACCTTGGGCCCCTCTGTAAATTGGGTGCAGTTATAGTCCCTACTTCATCGTGCTGCTGGGACAGTTGAGAATCAACTGCATGTAAAGTGCTCCACTTTGTACGTGGCATTCAAGGCCCTGCCACCTACTTCTGCCTCCTCTGTGTGGCTCCTCTTATCCCCACAGTGACAATGCCAACAGTGAATAACATTGTGTGCTGTTTATTGAGCACTTCTTCTTTGCTGGGCACGTGGATTCTCTCTCAGTCCTCGGACGTTAGGTTTATCGTTACTCCTGTTTTAAGGAGGAGGAAGCTGAGAGGCAAAGTGACTTCGCCAAGAAGACTGGAGACGTGGAACCAGGACTTGAACCCAGGCTCAGCCGGAGTCCTCATGCCCCTAAGCTCCTGGCCTCTCCTGCGCCCTTAGAAGAGCTGGAGGCGACGCTCTTCGGAGTCGGGAAGGCAGGGGCTGGTGTGTCGTGAGCATCCGTGCACCAGGAGGTGAGAGAGGGTGTGGGCCCCCTGGTAGGCACATGGCTGGGGGGTGTTGGGAGAGGTGGGGGAGGGAGTGGCAGCACCGGTGGTAGGGCCGGGAGGATCCAGGTGAGGGGTTGAGGCCTTACCCATAGGGAAATGAGGGGAGGCTCTTGCATGGGTTTTTTTTTGGTCTCATTTAAGAAAAAAAAAATCATTAGCTCAGTTGGTTAGAGTGTGGCGTTATAACCAAAGTCAAGGGTTCAGATCCCCACACTGGCCCCCTGCCCAACAACAACAAACATTAAAAAAAATGACGAAGTAATTTTTAAATGTCAATTAATACAGGATAGAGAGTAAAAATGGATTATCCTCTCCCATCCCACATTTTGGGTGAAACATTGTGAAGAATTTGGAATCCTTCCGAACTTTTCCTAAACCTCCAGAGTGCATTTGTGTGCGCTCGTGTACACACATGTGCACAAACTAATTTTCTTTACAGAAATAATGGTAGTTTGTGTTTGCTACGTGCCAGGCACCACACTGAGCCCACTGCATACATTATCTCATGTAATTCTCCCACCAGCCCTATGGTGTAGCTGGCATTATTGACCCCATTTTCCAGATGAGAAAACTGAGGCCCCAAGTTGCCCAGAGGAGATTCTACACTGCTAGATTCCTCTTTCTCTTAACAGTGTGTTGTGAGCATCTTTTTGAGTCACACTGAGCTCTTATTCTTTTTAATTTTAATTTAATTTTTATTTTTGGTGGCTAGCTGGTACAGGGATTGAACCCTGGACGTTGGTGTTATCAGTACCACGCTCTCACCAACTGAGCTAACTGGCAGCCCTCTTGTTCTTTTTAATAGCTGCACAGCTGTTTACTCGATGACTTGAGCGTCATTTATTTAACCAGATCCCTTCTTGTGAACACTTGGCTTGTTACTGGTTTTCCGTGGAGAGTGTTTTTTTTTTTTTTTTAAAGATGACCGGTAAGGGGATCTTAACCCTTGACTTGGTGTCGTCAGCACCACACTCTCCCAAGTGAGCTTACCGGCCAGCCCTATATGGGATCCGAACCCGTGGCCTTGGTGTTATCAGCACCGCACTCTCCCAAGTGAGCTTACCGGCCAGCCCTATATGGGATCCGAACCCGTGGCCTTGGTGTTATCAGCACCGCACTCTCCCAAGTGAGCTTACCGGCCAGCCCTATATGGGATCCGAACCCGTGGCCTTGGTGTTATCAGCACCGCACTCTCCCAAGTGAGCCACGGGCCGGCCCCTCATGGAGAGTTTTAAGTAGGGGAGGCCCCCAGTTGTCTGTGTGGTTTACAGAGATGCCTCTGGCTGCAGGGAGGAGGGTGAACTGGAGGGGGCCACCAGTGTGTCCAGGCCCAGGAGGATAGGGCCCTGGCCTGAGGGCCTAGAGATAGGGTGGGGGAAGTCTGCATTTGAGGAAGATTGAGGAGCTACCTCCGGGCTCCAGCATGGTGCTTGGCACATAGTAGGTGCTTTGCAAGCATTTGGTGAATGACTGGGGTGGGGGAGGGGACTATGCAGCAGCAGCTGAGTCAGTGACGAGGGGTGGAGGTGGGACAGGCTTAGGGATGCCAAGTCTGTTTGGGACCAGTTGAGCATGAAGCTGGGGGCAGGAGGGCGTTGAGGGGGAGGTGCGGCAGGGCCACATCCCTCCTCGTCAGGGAGGAGTCTGGAGTCTGTGGTCAGGAGTGGCTCCCAGGGGAAAGGGGCCACCTTCCTCTGGGAACCTCAGACACCCCCATTCAGGGCCCCCACTATTTCCTTTGGACCCTCAAGGGTTTATCTCTACCTCGGAGTGTGCAAGTGGCGGAAGGGATGAGGGGATCGGCCCTTCTCAAATGGGCAACTCATGGTGACTCGGCCTCTGGGCCCCAGAACCAGGAGGCCTACTGGCAGGGTCCTGCCTTGGGAGGGTGGTCTCTCTCAAGGTCCCACAGCATGGCAACAGCCCTGCTGAGACCAGACCCCAGCTTAAATGAACCCGTCCTTCCTCAAGCACATTCTGTTTTGCTGAAGCCTGAAACTGAGTGGAGCTGGAGGGTCTGGACTGTCTTATCCTCACCTGCTTTCTGCCAAGGGCATCTATCTGGCTGGTCCATGTGAGAGGTCCCAAGGGCAGGAGGAGGGACCCATGAGTTCTCCCACTGTATCCCATGAGTAACCCCTGATTCCCACCTGCCAAGTGTGGTCTTCTGTGCCCACTTCTTTTCACTCACACCCATGCTGTGTGACCTTAGGCAAATTCCTCAACCTCTCTGTGCCTCAGTGTTCTCATAAGTAAAATAAGGACATTATTAATATCTATCTCCTAGATTTTCATGAGGATTTGATGAGTCAGCATTTGCAAATTGCTTAGAGCAGAGCCCAGTACAAGGTCTGGGCCCTCGGAGTATTTGAATATCGTGGAATGATCTTTGATCTCTACAATGTGGCATTGCAGGAGAAAAGCAGGTTGCAAGTTATACGTCTGTGCTCATTTAGTCTTTTGTCTATCCTGCACATATTTCCAGGGCAGCTGGTGGGTGCCAGCCTGGTCCTGGTTGCTGGGGGCATGGAGATGGACCTGACCTGGCTGTGCCTGCAGGGAGCTCAGAGTCAAGGGCACTCAGTTATGTTTACATAACAAGATCCCAGTTATGTTTACAGTCATATGCTTATATGGTGCTGGAAGGAAACATACCCTCATGCCCAGGTGGTTGTCTTCTAGGGGCAAGATTATGGCACATTTTATTTCCTTCTTTTTCTTCCTGTAGTTCCCAGAGAATCTACTCTGAAGGGCAAAAGTTATCATTTTACTGATGACTGGCAATGTGCCGCACTGTCCTGAGTATGTTCCATGTACATTTCTCACCGATTTTCCCAGCAGCCCTGTGACGTGGGTACTGTTGTTATCTCCGACTGACAGATGAGGAAACTGAGGCATAGGGTCAAACACAGGCACTCTGCCCCAGCTGTCTGGCTCTTGAGCTTGCCTGCCTGCTCTCCACAAACACATGTCATTTGTATAGTCGGAATCATATAGTTTTTATTTCCTCTCAAAGTCCCACAGACAAATCCCTTGCTGAGGGATCCTCTGAGGCAGGACCTGGCTAGGTCACCTCTGTGTCCCCCTGTAGTGACCAGCAGACAGCCTGCTAGTAGGGCCTGTAAATGCTGCACCCAGGGGCAAGTGGGTGGGGGATGGGCTGGCTGGGTGGCTGGGCCTCAGCCTCTGTCAGGCCTGGGGTTGTGGGTAACTGGGTCAGTCAGCTGGTCCCGTGGGACACCAACTACATGAGTGCTGATGGGCACTATGACCTCAGTGGAATTGGTTGCCATAGAAATTGGCCTTCTCTGTGCCCAGGCCCTTGACGTGTCCCTCAGGAGGCCCTGGTGATCCCTTGGGCTGTTGAGCAGGTCACCCTAGGGGCTCCCAGCCCCACATCCTCTGAGCTGGATGGTCCCCAGGGGCATGTAGGTCACATCCTCATTGTGCAGCCAGGCAGCCTGAGGCTCAGAGGGTGGAGGGACTGGCTGAAGTTCACATGGGGAGGTGGAGTTGCAGAGCTGGGCTTGGCACTGAGGGCAAACAGCCTTGCCTGAGGCTCCAACCAGTCACAGCATCTTTTCCCCATTCACGGGTTCTCAGAGGCAATTCTGGACTGATTCTGGGACCTTCAGCATCCCCTGGAGAATAAACGGAACCCACCTTGCTGGTGTGTCCAGAATCGTACAATGTCAGTAATAGCTGGTGTGGCAGGGTGACCTGCAGTGTATCTGGCACCCTACACTGCCTTGTTCAGTTATCACAATGACCCCATCATTTACAGATGAAGAAATGGGGCACAGAGGGACATTGTCATGTGCCTGAGGTCACACAGCTGATTGGGGGCAGAGCCGAGATCTGAACCTGGGGAGTCTGTCTCCAGAGCCCACATTTAACTACTGTGCCATACCCTGCCTTGCTCTGGCGTGTAAAATGCTTTGGGTGGGACGAGGGATATTTCAGGTCTGGGAGCCTCTTAGCCCCGCGCCTGCCAGAGTCAGACCCTGATGAATAGTTACCCATGAGTGAGAGCCATCGCGATTTCTCTTTCTAATCATATCGTCACAACAGCTCTGCGAAGTCTGCTTTGCTTTATCTCTGCTTTGCAGATGAGGACGTTGAGGCCCAGAAAGGGGAAGTGACTTGCCTAGGGACACACAGTGGAGAGAGGTGGAGCAGGTCTAGTTCAAGACCCCTCCTCCATACCTGGTGTTCGTGCCAAGACCCCAGGCTGCTTCCCGGATCCTCTGGGACAGCCCCTGCCTTCCACCAGGTGAGGCGATGGCCCTAGTAGGGCTGCAGAGATGAGTGGGAAGACCCCAGCCAGGCTTGTTGGGAGCTGGGAACAGTCAGGGTGGAAGGGGAAGTGAGAGGCAGAGAGGTGTGGTGGGGTCCTGGGCGTCAGGGGGAATTTCCAACTTAGTTCCCTCTATGTTTCCTGATCTCTGGACTTTCCAGATTTCTGGCTTAGAAAAATCACTTAGCTCTTGAATAAGTCAGTCACTCTCATCCACTCATGATTGCCTCATTCATTCAACTATTTATTGAACACCTGCTGTATGCCATGCCCTATGCTAGGAACTGAGAGCATAGCAGTGAACCAGACAGAAAAAGCTCATGACAATGATCACATAGTCACATGAATTAAAAAACAACAACAACGAGGGACCACATGTTATCAAGGAGAGGCACAAAAGTCAGGGGACTTAATCCAGTGAAAAGATTTGGGGAACACTTCCTGAGGAGGTGACTTTTGAGCTGGGAACTGAAGGAGGCACAAGTTACCCTGGTGAGGTGGTCAGAGAGGAGCATTGTGGGCAGTGGGAACAGTATGTGCAAAGGCCCTGTGGCTGGAGTGAGCTCCAGCCATCTCCTTCTTCAGCCCTCCCGCTGTGTTGCTGTCTTGGTTGCCACTTCTGTCACCTTTCTGCCAGTGTTAGACAATTTTAGTCAGTCATGTATTCATTCAACAAGCCCTCAGTGAGCCCTGTCCTATGTGTTAGGCATGACTCAGATACTGTCCCTGCCCATGAGGGACAGAGGCAGTGACTCAAGGGGAGGTGGGGCAAGTCAGGGCTTCTGATTATTCGGTGATTCTTCCATGCCTGGCCCTGTACCAGGGAAGCCCTTTATAGGTGTCATCATTACGCTCATTTTACAGATGAAGAAATTGAGACTCTGAGAGGCTAATTCGCCCAAAGAAGTGAGTACCACTCTTTGGGCCTCAGTTTCCTCATCTGTACAATGGGTGGAGATGGAGGCAGTCCTGCCTGCTCCCGGAATGTCTCCTTCACCCCAGGATTCTCTCTCATTCCCAGCCAGGACCATGGGCAGTAACAAGAGCAAGCCCAAGGATGCCAGCCAGCGGCGCCGTAGTCTGGAGCCTGCCGAGAATGCCCACGGCGTCGGTGGGGCCACCTTCCCCACCTCACAGACCCCCAGCAAGCCAGCCTCCGCAGACGGCCACCGTGGCCCCAACGCAGCCTTCGCCCCCGGGGCCACTGAGCCCAAGCTGTTCGGAGGCTTCAACTCCTCGGACACTGTCACCTCCCCACAGAGGGCGGGGCCACTGGCTGGTCAGTTGGCCTGGGGTGGGCTGCTGGGTTGCTGTTTCTTCCTTCACTAAAGGGGGAGAGTCTGTGGGTTACTTGTCCTGGAGACTGTTGGGAGTTTCCCGGAGGCTGTGGGTAGAGAAGGACTTTATAAACTGTAAAGTGTGGTACACTCCTCATTGGCTTTGCAGAGTGTAACTGGGTCTAGAGATGAGGACCACTGAGACCCACAGAGAAGGGGAGCATGGGGATCAGGCCAGAGTCTGCTGCTTCATGGTCCAGGCTTTGTCTTATGCTCTGGTCAGCCCAGAGATGGGTCAGGACAGACAGGTGGCGGGTGTGTGGCAGAGGGGCCCAGTGGTTGTCAGGGAGACTGGGGCTCCAGTCTTTCCAGGCTGGGCCCAGTGCCGGGATGTGCCCCTATGCCCTCTGCTGGCACTTTGAGGGTATAGCAGCTCCAGGCAAGGGATGCTTAGAGAGAGCAGATGTGGCCCGAGACACGCAGACATAGATACGCACACAAACATATGCACTTCTACCTGCCACACTCAGATGGAACCACACGTATAGGGCTGTGCACCCGTACAGGACACGCATGCATGCAGAGTGGAAACACCATCATAGACGCTCACAGACACACAGTGCACACGGAGACACACCCAGGGACACATGGATGGGACGACCAGGCACAGACACACGCTCAGTGCAGATGTACATAAATACAAACACACATACACAAATAGCCTCAAACTCTCAGATGAAGCACATGCACATGCAGTCAGAAGGCATTCAAAGAAACACACAGCACACAGAAACACACTCAGCTAGAAGCAGCACCATGGATACAGGCTCACAGGTACATGAACACACATGTGCAGTAAGAACATGCAAACTCACAGACACACAGACGTGTGGACCCCTCAGACTGAGACACATACCCAAGTGAGACAAATAGACCCACAAACACACCCATTCATTTGCAGCCAAGACCTCCCCACACACCTAAAAACAGCCAGATTCACACACAGAGAGAAATAGAGTGACCCTCCCAGTGGCAAGTTCCTTCATTCACTGGCTCATTCAGCCCACACTTCTTTCTTGAGCATGTACTGTGTGCCAGGCTCTGGGGCCAAAACAAAGATGCCTGTTCTCTGGGGCTTCTGGTTCTGAGAGCAAGGCAGACACCAAACAGATAAGCTAACACCCAGAACCACTTAACGCCCAGGGTGCACACTCAGATCTGGAGGGATGCACATGCCCCCACCTGCCCTCACAGGGATGCACAGACACTTGGACACAGTGGCCACACATGCAGGCCCACCCCCACCAAACGTGACCACGTCTCTGGGCTGGGCACTGATGGTGTGTGGGAGACCAACCCCTCTCCTCCCAGGTTCAGGACCCTTTTGCCCTGCCCTTTTCTGTCCTGACACACCCCACCCATCTCTGCAGGTGGAGTGACCACCTTTGTGGCCCTCTATGACTATGAGTCACGGACGGAGACTGACCTGTCCTTCAAGAAAGGGGAGCGACTCCAGATTGTCAACAACACGTGAGTGCCTTCCTTCCTCAGTGCCCTTCAGGACCCGGTGGGGGGAGTTCACGGTGGGGTGGGGGCGAGGTTCACTCCTGCCACGTGGGAGCTGCCGACAGAGGGCAGTATAGAGCCCTGCACCTGCGCATTCCTGCGCTTGGCGGCACCTGCTGTTGCTCCCTCAGGTGGGGGACCCCTCCTCCCCAGCAGTGGGACCCCTCCCCACCCCTGGCCCTCGCTTGCTCCCTCCAGCCCTCTCTCAGCTTCTCCCTCTCTCTGCTTCTCTCTCGCTGGCTCTTAGGAGGAAGGTGGATGTCAGGTGTGTACGCACTTGGTGGGCAGCGGGGTGGGTGGGGGTGCTTTGCTAGGGGTGCGGGGCTGCTGTCTGCATGTGCTTCTACCACCCATTGTCCCCACCTGTTGTCTCTGGCTCCCTCGGCTGCCCCCCACCCCCAGCGTCCCAGCTTATCTTCCACCCCCCACCAGTTTGGCCGAGTCCTGACCTTAACCCTGAGCTGAGATTGGGGGCCCCTCCCATCACCCATTGTGCTCACCCTCACGCCTCCTCCCATCCAACTCACTCCTCCCCATCTGACTTGCAGCCCACACCAGCTGCATGTGGGTTCCAGGGCTGGCCCCGGGAGGCCTGGGTGGAGAAGGCCTTGTCTACGCCCTCCTGGAGCCACGGTATGGCCTGGGAGCCAGCCCCAGTCGCCCCAGTCTAGGCCAAGTGGCAGCTAGAGGGTGGGGCAGGGTCAGCTTATGGAGCCCCTGCTGAGTGTCCCCCTATGGTGGTGACCACAGGGACGGGCAAGCTGCAGGGCTGGAGGGGTGATGGCCTGGGGGCTGTGGAAGGGCAGGAAGGCTCTTGAGGGCAGAGGAGAATCGGTCCCCCAGTGTCCTCACAGACCTGGCTAAGGAGGTGGGACATTTCCGCCATCCCCGAGCACGTCCTGCTGTTCATGCCTCCCTTCCCTTGTGCACGCTGCTCCCTCTGCCTGAAACACCCTTTCTCCCATCTCTGCCTGGCGAACTCCTATGCATCCCTCAACACCCAGCGCAGGACTGCCTTCTCCACGAGGCACAAGGGAGCAGAGGTGCCAGGTGCTGTGCCTGTCATCTTCACCCATGTCCTCCTTGCGTTTGCTCCTCTCTGCAATCCCACCAGGGCTGTAGTGTTGGGGGAGGGGGCTGTCTCCATTTTGCAAATGAGGAAACTGAGGCTCAGAGATGTGAAGGCCCTTGTCCAAGGTCATGAGGCTACCAAGTAGCAAAGCCAGGATTGGAATTTGGGCAGCCGCTCCCTCCCTTCCTCAGGCTGCGCTCTGGGGGGAGGGGGTTTTCCCAACTCTCCCACCCCCTTGCATGTCAGAGTCCTGGTGGGGCTCCAGTTCTCTTATTGTCACCTGCTGTTTGCATCTGCTTTCTCCCAAACTGGGAGCTCCTCGAGGCAGCTCTCTGGTCTGCCTCATTTCTGGCTCCCCTTACCACCTGCTGTTCAGCATACCAGGGAGTGCCCAGCTGGTGCTGGTAAACAGGAGTAACAAACAGTAACAGAATAGCCACCATTGATTGTGCTGTGTGTGAGCTGGGTCCTGTGCTGAATGCTCTAAGTTACATTATTTTATTTATGTGTTACCACAGCCCTGAGAAGTGGAAACTCTTATTTGCTCCATTTTACACATGAGGAAACAGGCCCAGAGAGGTGAAGTGACTTGCCCAAGGTCACACAGCTGGTAGTGGCAGAGCTGAGAGGGAAGGCCCTCTGACTCATGGCCCTTGCAGGAGGGCTCAGTGGAGGTGCAGCGGAGCCTGGAGAGGGAAAGGCGCAGGCAGGGCGGATGCCGCAGGACAGTGGCTTTGAAGTCTGGGGGAATCGCACCCTGTGTCTCAGGGGGTGGGTTCACAGCTAGCAAAGGTGTGGAGGCAGGACAGGCTTGGGGAACTTGAACTCTGCCTCTTTCGCCTGGAGTCAGAGGGCAGCCCCCTTCCTTCCTTTGTCCAGCCCTTTTGCTCCCTCCTTCCTGCCTTGTGGGACGGGCTAGGGGAGGTTTGGCCAGGATGGAGCTACAGGAGGGTTGGAGGTAGTGGAGTCTCATCCACAGGAAGCCCCCGGGGAGCAGTGAGGATCCTGGTTGGGGGACGGGGGCGGGTGGATTGGGGGCTCTTCCTCATGTCACAATGCTCAGCTGCTCCCTTGCCTAGAAGTTGGTTGGGGATAGAGGTGTGGGGTGGCCACTGGAGGAAGAGGACAGAGAAAGGGATTTGGGGGTGGGGCTTAGTGGAAGATGGGCCACCCAAATTTGAGGTGTTCAGGTCTCATACCTCACCCAGGGACCACCCTGCATGTCTTTCCACCATTATTGCTTAGCACCCTTCCCACCTTCCTGCCTGGCCCAACCCACCCACCCTGTATGAGGGGGGACCTTTCTGAGTCTAGTGTGGGGGCCCAGCCCTTGTGTGGGGGCTGGGCTTGTTGTCAGGGGAGGTTGAGAGCTTAAAGACGAGCCCGTCTGTCATTGGGGTTTGGCCAGGGCTGGCTGGGTGGGGGTTCCCAAGGCAGCAGTCCTGGAAGCCCTGTTCCATAGATCTTGGTACCAAATGGCCTTGGTCCTAGTCTCCTAGGGTCCTGTGTGGCCCTAGGTCTGAGGAAGCCCACTGTGGTCTGAAGTCTGACTGCCCCCAGTACAGTGACCTGGTGTCTGAGTCTCTAGGAGTCAGGGTCCCTCTGGGTCTGATTCTGGATTGCTCCCTGAACAGCCTCTTCCTCCCACCCAAATTCCAGCAGCTTCTTTGGGGTAGCTTTCCAGCAGTCACTGCCAGCGACAGCACTTTAGTGATCTCTGTCTCCTTGCCCTAGGCATTTGGGGCAGGGGTATGTCAGGACTTCAGAGCCCCCAAAGACCCTCCTGAGACCTGCCCTGGCCTCACCCTCCCCTCTCTACACAGGCCCCATGGCCCAGGCCTTGGGCTTGGAAACTTGCTGCCTGGGCACTGCCTCAGCTCTGGGGCTATTGGTCACACGCTGGGCCACACCCAACTGCCACAGCTTGTCTGCAGTCCCCAGAGTGCCTCTCTGACCAGTCCCAACAGCCCGAGTGATTATATCAATGCCCAAACTGGCTATGTCCCATGTTCCAAAGCTGCCACACCCTGGATTCACATGCCAACCTGGCTGGACACAGGATTAGGGTTCAAAAAGAGGATCCTGAGGCTCAGACAGGTGAGGTCAGTAGCCTGAGGTCACACAGCTAGTAAACGGCATTTGGGATGTAAAATCAGAGCTCGAGACTCATGGCCCAGCGCTTTCTCCTCTGGCCACGTGTGGGAAGGTGAGAAGTCAGACGGGAAAATGTACAGTTCCCTTCCTTCCCTTCTTCCTGCCCATCTGACGAGGACCCGGTCCCAGGGAAGGTGCTGGATGCAGTAAAACTCAACCCGAAAGATTGATGCCATTGTTACTTCTGATCGCGGCTATTTGAGGCTGTTTTGAGTCTCCCAGGCCCTCAACATGGGAAGATAGGGACTGATACCTCCATTTCATTGGTGGGCAAACTGAGGCTCACATGATAATCACCGTAATTATCTCAGCCCTCCGTGAGCCCGGCTTGATGCTGGCTGTGTACACACTTTGCTTGCAAGGGATATTCTGTGAATATCATCTCCTTTTTACAGATGAGGAAATTAAGACTCAGAGAGGGTGGGGTCCTTGCCCAAGGTCACACAGCAAATCCTTGTTGGAGACTGAGACTGTGCTGCTGTAGTTTTTAAAACATTTTGGGGCCGGCCCGTGGCTCACTTGGGAGAGTGTGGTGCTGATAACACCAAGGCCCCGGGTTCGGATCCCACATAGGGATGGCCGGTTTGCTCACTGGCTGAGTGTGGTGCTGACAACACCAGGCCAACGGTTAAGATCCCCTTACCAGTCATCTTTAAAAAAAAACAACAAAAAAACATTTTGAGAGTAGGGAGGGGCACTGTGCAGGTACAGACTTAGATGTTTTCATTTTTTTTTTAAAGCCAAATCAAGATACTAATAGCTCATGCCTATTAAACATCTACTATGTGCTGGGCCCTGTGCTGGCATTTGACAGACATCTTTGGAGGGAGGCATGAGTATTCCCATCATACAGATGAGGAAACTGAGACGGGGATGCGGTGTGGAGGGGCCAAGGTCATGCAGCCAGCAAGTGGTGAGCTGGGATGGCACCCACAGCAGTCTGATGCTGGAGCTTAAACTCTGAGACACCTCTAAAGTCAGGGGCCAGGCTGAACTTGAACCTTGGGTCCTTTAATAAAATTGAGGAGGCTCTTATGAAATAAAACCCCCAAACTGGACTGTGAAACCCCAAACTCACATGTGGGCTGGTGTTGGGAGCTCTGCCGCTGACGCCTGGGTAATGCCAGCTGAAAGCCCCTTGCTTCTGGGGCCCCGCTTTGCTGGCTTCTGGGCACTTGCTTCTGGCCAAGTGCTACGGGCACTCAGGGGCCCTGGTTCTCTCCCTCGCTCTGCCCTTGATTCGCTGTGTGGCTTTGGGCAAATCACTGCCTCTCTATGCCTCATTTTCCCCATTGGTGAAATGGAGGCTTTGGACTAAAAGATCTTAGAGAGCTGTTCCCTGTGACTTGAGTCCTAATTGTTTAGCTTTGGGCAAGTCCCTGCCCCTCTCTGTGCCTCAGTTTCCCCAACTCCACAAAGAAAGTGCTGGGCTACTCTAGCGTGGGTGCTGTGTGTCCCTGGGCTGACCCCTTGACATCTCTGAGCCACAGTTTCCTCACCTTGGGGCTGGGGCCCTGCCTTCCTCCCTTGAAGGGTGGCCTTAAGGGTCAAATGGGACAGACAAGTGTGGACACTCCTAGGTGGGTGCACAACAGGGAGGTGGGCGGAGGTTTGGGGCATCAAAGGCTTCTTTCCTTGAGGTGGGACTTGCCCCCTTATCCCAGGGCCTTCCCTCTCCCCCAGAGAGCCCCACGTGGGTTCCACCCCTGCCTGAGTGTATGTGCAGCCATCACACGGCCGAGTCAGCCCACACAGCCCCAATCTTACCCCTTTGCCTTGCTCCATCCAGAAGGGACCCCACACTCTCTGGTTCAGCCTCAGCCCACGCAGCTGAGTCCCAGGGTCTAGGGTGCTCCCCTGTCCTCTGACAGGTTCTTGGAGAGCTCCCGAGCCCTGCTGTCTCCATCTTTAAAACGGCCTGAAGAATATGGTCAGAGGCAGCTCAGAAGAACCAGGAGCCAGGGATCTGGGTTCAAGTTCAGGCTGTGTGACTGTAGGCAAAGGGCTTTCTCTCTCTGGGCCTGGTGGGGGTAGAGGACATGTCCTGCTTGCTGCATGTCTTCTCAGGGTCATGGTGAGTTCCAAAGACGGCCTTGGATTGAGAAGAGCTCAGCAAGCGTCAAGCCCCACCAAACCCCATAGGGGAGGGTTCCTTCCTATCTGGGAGTCAGGATCCTGGGCCTGGCTGTGTGACTTTGAGCAGAGGCCTTTGCTTCTCTGGCCTCAGTCTCCCCATCTGTATAATGGGAGTGGAGAGGGCTGGATTCTAGTTCCCAGGTTGCCCTGCCCATGGACCTCCCTCCCTCCCCACAGACCCTCTCCCTGTCCTTTGGTTGCTTTGGATGTGAGGCCTCTGTGGCTGCTCCCCACCACTCCCCACCCCCTGTCCCCTATCCCCAGCACCGCCTGGCTCTCCTGCTCTCTCCCTCGCTCTTCCTGCCACTCTTTGCCTCTTACCACCCCCATCTCTGCCTCTTCTCTCCTGTTGGGCTCTCGCTTTCTCCTCCCTCCTCTGTGTCTCTGGACCCCCGCTCCAGCCAGACCTGGTTCACATTCAGATGGCTGCAAAGGTACTTCCGCCCCCTCCCCCTCTTGCCCAGACCCAGGGGACCCAACCATGCCAGGAGCTCCTCCTGCCCTGTCCCCATCACCTCCTCCTCCTCCTCATGGGGTAGTTATTATAAAAGTGCCCTGGGCGTTGGGGCCCTGCCACCTTGGCCCCCTCTGGCATGACTCGCTGCGTGACTTTGGGCAAGTCCCAGTCCCCTCTGGCCTCAGTTTCCCCCTGCAGGTGGTAGACTGCAGGAGGAGGCCTATTGTTTTCAGCTGAGGAACCCTTTAGGTGTGACCCATGATTTGTGACAGAGGCAATCATTGCTCTGGTGTGCAGGGTTGGGGCCTAGATTGTCACCAGGCCCCAAAAGGGCCATCCCTTGCCCCCACTGAGGTCTCACCAGCTCCCACGATTGGGCTTCCGAATCTCAGGGCTTGGGGAGACTTTGAAGTTCTAATTTGACATCCATCTTGGGCAGGGATCTTCTCTCCTGATACAGCTTTGCTTGCCCCCAGAGACAGGAAGCTCCCTCCCTCCCTCCCAAGGAGGGAGCTCTTGGCATTTTGAGATGTCTTGGTACACCTGAGAGGAAGCAGATTGCTTCCCACGCCAAGACTCTGCCCCTGTGGACTTGGGCCTCAGGCTGACCAAGGTCAGTTCTGCCCCGGTCCTTGACAAAGCCCATCTGAGCCAGCTCTGGCAAAGACACATCTGGGCCAGGGAGGGGTAGAGTTCCAGGCCAGCGTGACCTGGCATGCCGCCTGCGCCTCACTCGGCCATATGGGCCCCAGCACAGCACCAGGAAGATCGCAGACACCCAGGCTCACTGCTGATGGCTCCCTTCTCCTTTGCTCCCTCCTTCTCCCCCTGCTCAGAGAGGGAGACTGGTGGCTGGCCCATTCACTCAGCACGGGACAGACGGGCTACATCCCCAGCAACTATGTGGCACCCTCCGACTCCATCCAGGCCGAGGAGTGAGTATTGTCACCGGCTGCCTATCTGCAGCATCACTGCTGGTTCAGAGTGTCTTTCCCGGGCTGGAGTGGGAGGTCTGGCTGCCCAGGGCCACAGCCACATCCCGGGGAGAGGTGTCACCACCCCCCTCCTCCTTCCCACCCCAGGTGGTACTTTGGCAAGATCACCAGACGGGAGTCAGAGCGGTTACTGCTCAACACGGAGAACCCGAGAGGGACCTTCCTAGTGCGAGAAAGTGAGACCACAAAAGGTATGAGCACTGCTGCTGGCCAGTGGAAACTGTCTTTTGTGGGTTTTTTTTTTATTGGTGGCTGGCCAGTGTGGGGATCCGAATCCTTGACCTTGGTGTTACAAGATTGCGCTCTAAACAACCGAGCTAAGAGGCCAGCCCTTTGTTTGTTTGAAACTGAGTCTTTTGTGGGTTGTTTGAGCTGGGTGTTACAGAATGAATAGGAGTTTGGCATATGGAGTGGGGTGGGAAGGGCCCTTCCAGTGGAAGAAACCGCAGGATCAAAGTCTGGGAGGTACATCCGAGGTACACTGAGTAATCCAGGGTGTCCAGAGGTGCAGCAAAAGAAGCTTAGCCTCTCTGGGCTTAGTTTCCTCAGATGAGGAATGGGCACAGGTGTCAGGATGTGTGAGTGTCACACAGCAAAAGGCTTGTTCCCATGGTGGCTACTGATGCAGTGGGCCCCTCCTCCCCCGCTTCGCCTGGGGTTTCTGGGCTATGCTGGGAGCTGGGGCCTGGCTCTGCGCTTCCTCCCATGGTCCTGGCCTGGCTCTTCTGCTGTCTTTCCCCCACCCAGAGATGAAGATTGTCCCTTTTCTCTCCAGCCCCTCTGAAAGTGGGTTGCAGGCGCCCCGTCACCATGGCAACCAAGCTGGGCCGCTTCCTGTGGGCCTGGGGCTCAGCGGGAGACGGGAAAACAGAGCATCCATGTTGTGTGTGCACATATGAGCAGTCGTGTGGCTGTGCACATGTGTGCATGCCATGTGTAGGTCGAGGCATGTGTATATGTACACATTGGGGTGGAATTGTGTGTGTGTTGCTGTGTAGGGTGAGTTGTCATGGCTTTGTCCTCATGCCCGGGGGCCTGGGCAGCATGTACCTGTGTGAGCATGTGGCCACAGGTCACTGACATGCCTGTGTGTATGTGCACAGGAGGTCAGTTGGCTTCAGCCTCGGGCCTGTGGCTTCTACATGCAACAGCCTGAGCCATCTGCAGACAATCATGGTTGCCTGATGCAGGCTTTAGTGATGGGTTTGAGTCTCAGCTCTGTGCCCTACTTGCTGGGTGACCACTTTCCCTCTCTGGGCCTCAATGTCCCCTTCTGCCACTTTGAGGACTGTCCAGAGGGAGGCCCTTGGGCCAGGGGGGCTGGGCATCCCTCTGATGCCTGCCCACTACTTGGCCAGGCTCCTGATAATGACCTTCTCTGGCCACTGGAGCCTCTGCCCCACCTCTGGGGCTCAGCCTTGTTCACTGACTCCACTGCAGGTGTCTCCTGGGCTCAGGTTAACAGAGGATCCTACCCAGGACGGCTGGGCAAGAGGAAACTTTTCCAGCCAAGAGCATTCCTAGGCTCAAGGGAAGCAGGAAGAGGGTCCCCGAGGCTGGCCCAGCTTGGCCTCTGCAGCCTTCAGGCCAAGCCCAGCACATGGTATCCTGCCCACACGTGTCAGATCCTCCGCCAGCCACCATCTCCTGCCTGAGCCTGCAGCCTTCTTCATGAAGGGACAGGCCCACACGGACACTGCCCTCCTGGGCTCACCCAGAGAGGAGAGCATAGGCCAGGACACAGGGCCATTCCCAGGCTCCCAGCAAACATTTATTGAGTACCTACTGTGTACCCGGACATTTATATGTGGTCTCACTGAGTCTTCCCAGCAGTCTGGAGAGTACCCCCATTGTGCAGAGGAGGAAACTGAGGCCCAAAGAGGGCACATGACTTCTCAAGATCACACAGTTGGGATGCACACGTAGGACTCAGAGGTCTTACCAGGGCAAAGGACTGGCAGGACTCCAGCTAGGTGTACCTTCACTTGCTTGGCCCGCCCCTTGGTGGCTGCCCCAGAGGCAGGTGCTGAGAGACTGGGTGGGCCAGGCTCCCCTGCCCTGGCCTCCCTTCCCTCCAGTGTTGGGCAGGCACAGAACTGCGTCCAGAACACAGTACTTAGTGCTGTGGCCTGCAGGTTAACGGCCTGGTGGTCACCGTGTGCCTCTGGCCCTGTCCTGCAGGTGCCTACTGCCTCTCTGTGTCCGACTTTGACAATGCCAAGGGCCTCAACGTGAAGCACTACAAGATCCGCAAGCTGGACAGTGGAGGCTTCTACATCACCTCCCGCACCCAGTTCAACAGCCTGCAGCAGCTCGTGGCCTACTACTCCAGTGAGTGCCCCCGGCTGCGGCAGGGCAGGGGTCTGGGGGGGGCCCAGCTGCAGATCCTGAGGAGGGGGCTTGGGAGCCTACAGGGGCTGGGGGCTTCTGCTCCCCTCCCCTCCCCTCTCCTCTGCCCCCTTTCTTCTCTCCTCCCACACCTCTTCCTTTCCCGTCCTCCTCTCCTGCCTCCTTGTCCCTCCTCTTCCTCTTCTCTCCTGCCTGTCCCCCTCCCTTCCTCTCCCCCCTCCTTCCGTCTCTTCCCTCTCCCCTCTCCCTCTTCCCCTTCCATCTCCCCCTGCCCCACTGCCCCTCCTTCCTCCTCCTCTGCAGCTGGCTGGTGAGGTGGGGGCTGCCCTGAGGCACACCGGAGCAAGCTGGAAGGGAGGGGACATTCATTGACTGGTGGTGTGGTTGTCTCTGCAGCCCTAGGACCGGTCTGAACTGGTTACTGGGCGAGGAGGAGGGGGCGCTAGATTGATTGCTGCAAAGAGGGAGAGAGCAGCAGAGGGAGGGAGAGCTTGGAGGGTGGAGCTCAGCGCTGGCGCAGGACGTGGGTGGGTGCGGCCCACCCGTCTGCATGTGTAAAGCTGCCCCGTGGGCCACAGGGTCAGGGCCTGTGTGTACCCATGTGTCTGTGGCGTGTGGCCGCGGCCTCCGTGTGCAGGTCTGGTCTACTCCCCACCCCCCGCCGCCTCCTCCTCCCAGCTTCCTCTAGGATCAGCCGCCACTCTGTCTCCTCTGCCACCCCTGTTCCCCCAGATCAAAACCCTCCAGTGGCTTTCTTGGAATCTTAACCGAGGCCCTGGGTGGTCTAAACCCGGCTGCCTACCTACCCTCACCTGGAATCAGCCTTCCCCATTCACTCCTGAAGCCTCTGTCCTGCCTGCGGCCTCACCAGCCCAGCAGCTGGTCTTCTCCAAGGGCCTTTGCACAGGCTGTGCCCTCTGCTTGGAATGCTCTTCCCTAGATAACCTCTCACCCTCCTGCAAATCCAAGCCCAGTTACCACTTCCTCTGGGAAGCCTTCCGGGACCCCTTCAGCCCCTACTATGGCAGGCACAGCTCTTCTCCATCACACTCACGGTCCTGGGAGGTGATTAAGGGAAGCTGGGCTTCTCCCTGGACTGGGAGCTCCCCGAGGGCACGTTCCACTGGACTTGTTCCCTACCCGGTCCCTTGCATCCCTTAAAGTCTGATGAATGAATGAATGACTCAATGACTCAATGAACAGATAGATGCATAGGGCATTGTGGGTCTGTTTAGGGGTCTGCATATACAGATGTAGACTCCTGGCTCTGAGGGCATTCTCTGTGTCTCCGGAAGTCTGTGTGCGTACGGTGTGTAGGGCTACACATACTGCTGGACAGGGAGCCCCGGGGTGAATGCCCCACCTGAACACCCTCCCTGTTTCCGTCTTCAGAACATGCCGATGGCCTGTGCCACCGCCTCACCACCGTGTGCCCAACGTCCAAGCCGCAGACTCAGGGCCTGGCCAAGGATGCCTGGGAGATCCCTCGGGAGTCACTGCGGCTGGAGGTCAAACTGGGCCAGGGCTGCTTTGGAGAGGTGTGGATGGGTAAGACTTCGTCCCTACCCCTGCAAGAGAGACCATGGTCCCTCGGGGGACTTTAGTGTCGCAGTCTGGGAACCAGCCCTCTGCAGACCACACCTGCTTACCAAGAGCTGCTTAGGGCTGGGTGCCTTGGCTACCTGGAGACCTGCTATATAGTCTGGGCCAGGTGGCCTCACTCTGAGCCTCAATCTTCCCAGCTGTAAAATGGGGCTGGTGATAATAGGACCCATGGCTGTGGGAGGGGGTGTGGCATTGTGAGGACACGGGCCCAGCATGTGTCCATACTATAGCTCTTAACTGTGGGAAGAGAAGCCCCAGTTCGCAGAGGGGAGCACTGGGAAGCTTAGTGTCCGACACATTCTGTTAATGATTTCCCATCTAACCCTGGAGAAATGGCAATACCATCCTTGAAAATGGGCGCTATGAAGCCCTGACAAAACCCAGGTCCCTCTTGCAACGACTGGTTTCTGCCGACACAGAGGAATCATAGAGGTTGGGGTGGAGGTGAGCATGACAGTTGGGAGCCTGTCGTTTTAGTGGGGGGACTCCAGTGTGCCATTTACAAGGTTATTTCATTGGAGCCCCGGTATTTACTATGTCACTGTCTCCTCTTTCCTCCCTGCAGAGGGCTGATGGAGGGTGCTGCAGGGACAAAGGCCTGGAGGCTGGAGGTCAGGCCGAGTCAGGGAAGGGGAGGTGTGGGCCTTGAGCTGGTGAGAGGGGAGAGGGATGAGAAGCTAGCTCTTAGGCACAGGACCTGAGCAAAACCTGGGGAAATCCACAGCATCGGCCATGCTGGTGGCTGCAAAACTCATTCCTGGCTCGGGTATGTGGTGATGTCTGGGGGAAGGTTCTCACTTCCTCCCTGGGTGCTCCAGGTAGACTCACAAAGTGCCACAAACAGGTCCCTAGATAGCCTGTGCCAGGAGGGCCACAGAGAAGGGCCTGAGTCCCAATCCTCGAGTCGAAGCCCAGTGGTGGGAAGGAACAGGCCCAAGGCCACCCATCAAAGAAGCCCCATGTCCAGCTGGGACAAGAACTCCGATCGAACACATTGGTCTAGAACATAGCTTCCCCAAAGGCCCCACAATTAAAAAATCAGATAATAGTAAAATGATAACTACACTCCGCTCTTATTTACTGAGCTCTCACAGTGGGCCTGGCCCAGTGGCTAAAATCTCGTTTAATCCTCAAACAGCCCCCCAGGGAGGCACAGTAGGAGCCACATTTTCCAGATGCGATAACTGAGGCTTAGAGAGAGGACTGACTCACCCCTGGTCTCAGTGCTGGCAGGAGGCAGAGGCAGGAGCCAAACTCCAGCCTGTCTGGCCTCCAAGCCCTCGTGCTTAGTGCAGTGCCTTACTATTTGGGGAGTGCAAGCTCCAGAGGTGACCGCTTGTTCCTCAGCGGCCCCTGGCCCCCACCAGCACCCATTCTGTTTGCTAACGCCTGAGGTGCCTTTGATGCCCTGCCCAGAAGGAACCTGATCACCAGGAGTGAGACATTTGAGTTGGAACCATGGTCTCCCATCCGTCAGGCTAATGTGCTGCTTTTTGGGAAACTCCTAGTAATCATAGTCTAGCAACAGCTACTATTTCTTGAGCATATACCAGAGACTCATTTAATCCTTGTAACAGCCCTGCGGGAGCACCCCATCATTGTGCCCATTTTTCAGGTGGGGATACTGAGTCTCAGAAAGGGCCCAGGTCTTGGCTGGGCTTGTCACACGGCTAGGGAGGCCAGAGCTGAACTTGGTACCCCAGCAGGCAGATCCCGGGTTCCCATGCGATAGAAACGGGGGTGGTCTCAACTGAGGCAGCCTGTGCCTCTCCCCACACAGGGACCTGGAACGGCACCACCAGGGTGGCCATCAAAACCCTGAAGCCTGGCACGATGTCTCCAGAGGCCTTCCTGCAGGAGGCTCAGGTCATGAAGAAACTGAGGCACGAGAAGCTGGTGCAGCTGTATGCAGTGGTGTCAGAGGAGCCCATCTACATCGTCACGGAATACATGAGCAAGGGTGAGGCCTGGGCAGCTGCAGGGACACAAGCTGGCCCCTCGCTGGGCAGCTTCCAAAGACAGGGCAGGTGGGGACGAGCTTTACTGCCCCCCAGCATGGAAGGGCCATCTGTAAAGGTGGAGTGGAGTAGAATCAAATTCTCATGTCAATGGAAACTTAAAGCAACAATTGTCTTTCTTGTTTCATTTTGTTTTTAGTAATTTCCCCCAGTGCGTCTTATCTCCCCCCTCGCCCCCGTTTGCTGGTTTTCTAAAGTTGTTTGTCATTGTGAGGCTAAACGAGAACTCCCCCAACCCTCCAAGCTGAGCCATATCTAGGTTCAGTTTCTGGCTTGACCTTGACTTAATTTTTAAATTATTCGTTATTTTTCAAAATTGTACTTTTTGGAGGTATAATTTACAAATGATAAAATACACTCATTTTAAGTGTGCAGTTCAATAAGTTTTAATAAATGGATTCTCTGTGCATTCTTATCACAATCAAGGTACACAATGTCTCCGTCATCCGGAAAGTTTCCTTGTACCCCTTTGTAGACACTGCTCCAGCCCTAAACCCAGGCAACCGTGGGTCTGCCGTTTGTCTAGATTTGTTTTGTTCATTCTAGAACGTCATCCTTGTTGTGTCTATCAGTAGTTTGCTCCTTTTTCTGTCGCTGAGGATTCTGTTTACGCATGTGCTACAGTTTATGTGTTCACCTGGAGGTGGACATTCGGTCGTTTCCCATTCTGCTGGCCTTTTGAGTGGCAAATTCCAAATGAGACTTTATTCAGAGATGAGTTTACATAAAGTCTGCTGTGCTGGTAGCAGTGAGGTCAGCCTGACCTGGAGGGACAGGATCTGGGAATCACTGCTTCCTGGATCAGTGAGGAAGGCAGGGGCTAGAGCTGGGTCTCTCTCTGCCCAGGGAGTTTGCTGGACTTTCTCAAAGGGGAGACGGGCAAGTACCTGCGGCTGCCTCAGCTGGTGGACATGGCTGCTCAGGTGAGTCTGTCCCTCTTGCCTCCCCGCACCTTTGGCCCTCAAACACCCCGACCCACCTGGCTCAGCTAATTCTAGCCTCTTGAGTACCCATTCCAGGAAGCTTGCCTGGGTTGCCCCCACGCTCACTGATCTTGCCTCCTGTGTTATGGGGACCACTTACAGGTGCAGTGAGAGGTGGAAATGGGCAAAGGAAAGCCCTTACCTGGGCATCCGGAGTCACTGACTTGCTGTGGGACCTCAGGCATCAGTTTTCTTCTCTGTAAAAGTCTTTCATTCACTTAGCAAACATGTATTAGTGCTTGCTATAGGTGATCTTCAACGACTTTTTGTTGTTGTTGTTGTTTAATCCTATCACAATCAGGAGAAGTAGGGATAGGCTATTATTCCCATTTGACAGATGAGAAAACTGAGGCTCAGAGAGGGGACTTGGGGCAGCAGGCACGACCTGGAAGTGATCTGTGTCTGTGGGTCAACTGGAGCCTCTTTTTTATGGTCACCCCACTTCCCTGGCTGAGTCTTCTTTTGTGCCTGCCCTTTGCCCTGCGCTCGTACGTCCCACTGAGCACTGCTCCTGCTTTTTATGTCAACAGCGTTTGTTGTGAACTGACTTCACCTGCCTGAAGGAGTGTGGGGAGGGCAGAGTGTATGGTTAGCTCTCCAGCCCTGGGGATGACCCCAACCCTGGGCACATGTGGGTTGACCCTGGGAAGGGTGTGGGATGGCTGCTGAGCCACGCTCCTCGGTTTTGCCTGCAGATTGCCTCAGGCATGGCATATGTGGAGCGGATGAACTACGTACACCGGGACCTCCGTGCTGCCAACATCCTGGTTGGAGAGAACCTGGTGTGCAAAGTGGCTGACTTCGGGCTGGCTCGGCTCATTGAGGACAACGAGTACACAGCCCGGCAAGGTGGGCGGCGTCCATGGTGGATGTCGCATGGCCTTGGGCAGGTTGCGGCCCTGCTCTGAGCCTCGGTTTCCTCATCTGCCAAGTGGAGATGAGGATGGTGCCTGTCTGGCAGAGCAGTCGTGGCACCGTGACATTGATGAACCTCCCCTTACCTTCTCACTCCTGCAGGTGCCAAATTCCCCATAAAGTGGACGGCTCCAGAAGCTGCCCTCTATGGCCGGTTCACCATCAAGTCGGATGTATGGTCCTTTGGGATTTTGCTGACAGAGCTCACGACAAAGGGACGGGTGCCCTACCCTGGTAAGAAGGGTCCCCACAGCCCATCTTTGGTCCTTGAACCCCTCTGCCCTGGTGGCCCTGGGCAAACCACATCCCTTCCTGGGCCTCAGTTTCCCCATCTATATAACAAAGAGGTTGAGCATCTAATCTTAGGCTCTCTCTATGGTCAGGGCTCTCAGACTTGGGGATGGGACTTACCCGTGGTTGTGCCCAACCTGTCCAAGGCAGGAAGCCTTCTGTGTTGTCCCCATCACCCTGTCCCACCCCACTTTCCTCACCAGAGCCGAGCTGCTCACGCCTCCCTCTGTCCACAGGGATGGTGAACCGCGAGGTGCTGGATCAGGTGGAGCGGGGCTACCGGATGCCCTGCCCACCTGAGTGTCCCGAGTCCCTGCATGACCTCATGTGCCAGTGCTGGCGGAAGGAGCCCGAGGAGCGGCCCACCTTTGAGTACCTGCAGGCCTTCCTGGAAGACTATTTCACGTCCACTGAGCCCCAGTACCAGCCTGGAGAGAACCTATAGGAGCAGGCAGGGCCAGACTGGCTTCTTGGCTTGGATCCTGGGCTGGGTGGCCCCTTATATGGGGCCTTGCCTCCCTCTGCCTCTCTCTGTGGGGCTCGATTGCCAGGAATGAGGCCCCTCCCTCTTTGGTAGCAAGGAAGGGCTTTGGGACCTTGGGCAGCCCGTGAGGGCAGGGTCCACGGCACAGTGACTCTCCCAGCCCCTGCTCTGCCACATGCCTCCTCCCTGAGCTCCCTCCTCGAGCTCTGAGGTTTTCTGGAGGAGGAACTGGGGAGAAGAGCTGGGGCACAGGCACCGTTTTTCCAGCCTCACCTACTCCACGAATCGGGCCCCTTCCCTGCTTCCCATGCCACCCAGGTCTGTCTCAAGAGCTGGCCAAAGAGCCTTTCCAAAGAGGAGTGACGGGCCTTGTGCCCTCAGCCTGCCTGCCCCCTGCCCCTGCCATCCATTTCTGAAATGTCTGTAGGTGGAGGCCGCTGGTCCAGACCCCTCTGCCGTTGCTCCCAGGCTGGGCAGCTTAGCTTGACCTGATGGTGGGTACCCCCTCAAACCCTCCCCTTCTTTGACCTGAGGGACCCTTAGAGATAATCAATTCCTTGCCCCCACTTTACCCATGGGGAAACTGAGTCCAGAGAGGGATGTGACTTGCCCAAGGTCACAGAGCAGTTCAGGTTGAGGTGGGGTTAGAACCTGGTGCTCCCTCTGTCTTCCTCAGGAACCAATGAGAATTGTCCTCAGAAGGCATCGTGGACAGACTGGGGCAGGGCCAGGGGACAAGGGGCCTGAAGATGGGTTAGAAATAGCAGAGTCCTACTGCCACTGCTCACTGGGCTGGGCTGTCGTGGGGGAAGAGAATGGAGGCAGATGTGGAGCTGAGCCAGGTGGAAGGCACAGGTGCCGGGAGACCAGCTTCAATCAGGATGTGGGTGGTTTTTGACCTTTGGAGCCAGCAGCCATGAAAGGGAGTGAGCTCCCAGGCTCTGGAGGCAATCAAGCAGAAATGGAAGAGCCAAGAGGCAGGGAGGCCCTGGCCCTGGCCTCAAAAGAGAACCCCAGGTCCTTCTTCCCCCAGGTGGTCCTGTGGCATTTCAACACCTGGTCACTGCTCTCCTGTGCAAGTTGGAACCCCTTAACGCATGAGTAGTAGGGAGTGCCCGAACTGGGGTGAGAGAGGATGGGGTTGCCCACTGCCATGCACCAGGACTGGCTATGTGACCTTGGGCGGCCCCTGCTTCCTCTCTGGGCTGCAGTGTCTGCCCCACATGTGGCAACGGCCTCTGCAACTGCTCAGCTCCTGTCTAGACCTTGTGGCTGGGCATCCATGGTGAGCCCAGCCCCAGGACACCAGGAAACTGCGTTTTGGCCCGGGCTCTGCTGTTCATCCTTAGAGTGTATGGTGGCTTCTCCCTGGGCCTCAGTGTGCCCATGTGTAAAAGGGGTGGCTGACAGTTTGTAGCATCTTGCCAAGGGCCCGTGTGTGTGTCTATGTGTGCACGTGTGTGTGTCTTCATGTGCGTCCATATTTAACATGTAAAAACACCCCTGCTCTGTCCCCCAGACACGTTGTACATTTCACCTATGGCCCCCCATCATAGCAATAACATTCCCGCTGCCGCTGCTGGGGATTCTCGAGCCAGCCAGGCCCTGCCAGCGGGGAAGGAGGCCAAGCAGTGCCTGCCTATTAAATTTCAACTTTCCCTTTCATACAGGTTTATTACCCAAGTCTTCACCCATCCATCCCAGTTAAATCTGGGCTTGCTAACCCCAGCGCGCTCTCAAATCCCCCTTTAACTGCCCAAGGCCCTTTGTATAAGGTGACCTAATACTGTCTTTTTTTAAAAAAACAAACAAACAAACAGTGTTTTGTAGGTTTCAGATGACTATGCAGAAGCCTGGGGGACCCCCAGCTCTGGGCAGGGCTTGGGGGTCCGGCATTCCATGGCCCAGGCTTGAGGGGTGGGAGGGGGGATCCAGAATTGGTTGTAAATACTTTGCATATTGTCTGATTAAACACAAACAGACCTCAGAGTTTGGCCAATGGTTTATTGAACATCTACTGTGTTCTAGAGAGTGAGAGAGGGCAGGATGTGAGAACAAACTGTGGTCAGAGGGGCCTTTGTCTGGGCAGCACTGGTAGTTGGATGGCTTCAGGCCAGGGGGTGACATGATCAGATTGGAGGCAGCCATGGCAGGTGTTCGGGCACATCTACACCTGTGTTTGAGAAGTGAGCACATCTGGGAGAAGCAGCAGGCAAAGCCTAAGATTCCCAAAGTGCGACAAGTTCAGGACTCAGATACCTGTGGTGGATGGTGGCAGTTGACACTGGGGACTAGGGCAGGCTGTCAGACCTGTGTGGAGTTGCTGGTGTGTTCACAGGGAGATCACAAATATACTGTGAGGGTTTGGCTGTGTGTGTGCTATTTGTGTGTTTCCTAGGAGTGCTGGGCAGAGGTGGGTGTAGGTCAACAAAAGTCCTGGGCACTCTGATGAAAAATCCAAAGACCTCTTCCTCCCCCAACACCAAAGGACACAAACTGGAAAGTTGATTTGCAGCAGTCTATATGAAGATACTTATTTTACATCAGGTCACACACCTATGCATGAGTCATGTCTGGTCATCATAACATCGCTTCATTAAAAACAAATTTCAGTTCGGCTCCCCAGACTGGCCAGCTGCCAAAAGAAATAAAAATAAAAGCAAATTTCAAGAACTGGACATTTCTCTGTTCAGTGTTAATTTTGCAAGCCAAATGTACTATAGTGTCCAGGTCAGCAGGGACAGCTGGAGGTGTGCATGTGTTGTGGGAGCAGAGGTGGGGCATGGACGTGAGTGTGTGGCAGGTTTTCTTCTGTTCGCTCCTGGGAGTGCGTGCCTGGCTGTGTGTGCCTTTGTGTTCCCGTGGGTATGAGTGTGGGCCTGTTTGCTCATGGGTGTCTGTGTTTGTTCATTGGCGCGCTGTTTGGACGTTTGTGTGTGGGTATGTCTCCAGGTGGTCTGTGGGTCTGGGCTCCTGGGGCTGTGTCCCGGGTGTGTGTACCTGGGTGTTAGAGGGATGAGGTGAACGGGTCTGCCTGTTCGGCCGCGTGCATCGGGCGTGTGTATTGTATGGACACGGGTCGCGCGCCGGCCCTGCGGGGACAAAGCGCTCGCCCGCGCTGCGCGGAGGCTCGGCAGTGCGCCTGCGCGGCGCGGGCGGCGGGCCGGTTCCCCGGGGCGGGGGGCGGGGCGGGGCGTCCCTCGCTGGGCCTCTCCCGGCTGTCGGTGCCTCTGCGGCTGTCTCTGGCGCTCTGTCTGGACGATTTTCGGTTTCTTTCTGTTCCCCGCCCTGGCCCCCCTGCTGCTGTTTCTTGGCCTTTCTCTCTGTGTCTGTGCTTCTGAGTTTCTGTGTGTGTCGCTGTGTCTCGCTGTTGCTAGTTTCTGTCTCTTTCTCTGGGCCTCGGTGCTGCCTCGCTGCCTCTTTTTCTCTAGCCTCCCCCTTCTCTCCCCGCCTCTGTTTCCATCTCTAAGATTTTCCTCTCGGTCCGTCCATCTCTCCACATCTCTGACGTGTCCCCAGGCCCTCCCACACCTCCATGCCTCTGTCCGGGCTGTTTCCACCCCCGGGAATGCCCTTTCTTCCCTCTGCAACCTGGCAAACTCCTAGTCATCCTTCAAAACACATCTCAGAGGCCACAGACCACCCCTGGGATCGGCGGGGTTGCCAGGGTGGTTCAGGCAGCTGGCCCACCAGACACTGGAGAGATCCCCGCGGGGAGCCCAGGTCAGGCCCAGCAGGGCATGTCTGGACAGGGAAGGGGCGGGAAAGCCGCTGGGGCCCTCCCTCCTCCTGCCTCTGGCTCCCTCTGGTTTTCACTTCCTCACTCCAGGCCTGGGCCTGCGTTCAGCTTGCTCTTGGTGGACTCTGCGTGTGAGCGAGACAGAGATAGATCCAGAGACAGAGTGGAGAGGCAGAGACGGCCACGCTGCCTGGCCCCTGCCAGGCCCCCATCTGCACGTCCTCTTCAGCCCTGCCCAGTTTCCAGCCGCTTCAGAGGAAGTGAGACTCTGGGACCCTGGGGCCCCTCAGCCTTCCCTTTCTAGCTTCAATTGGTTTTGCTCTTATTCTGCATGCATTTTTTCTTTTTGAGAAAAATAATATGTTTTCTCCCATGACAAAAATACTATGTTCCTTCTCGCAGACTAGGAAAGATACAGAAAAGCACAAATAAGAAGAAAAAAGAAGCCGCATAATTTGTACCCCCTACTCTGTCCCTCCTGCTTAGAGGACGGGGCATGTCTCCAGGGTGTGTGTGATCTGTCACCGTCTCTCTGGGTCTCCTGGTCTCTCTTCTCTGTCCCTGTTTCTGCACCTCTGCATCCTCTGGGCCCTCATTGGTTGGCTCTCCCCCTGGGCTGCTGGCCTGTTCGTTCCATCATATGTTCATACGTAAAACTTGGGTTGAAGACTTCCCCAGACCCAGTCCTGCCTGGCCCTCGTGTGTGCGTGTACTGTGACACTTGCATGTGTACGTGTGTGTCAGGTTCTCTGTGCCCCAGCTTTGTGTGTTCCTGCAGCCCCTCCCTGTCTCCCTTTCTCCACGGTTTCATTGACCTTCCATCCCAGCGTTGCACTTCCAGTGTGTATAGTGTGTGCAGCGTGTGGTGTGTGTGGTGTGTGCCGTGTGTGGGGTGTGCAGTGTACGTGGTGTTTGGTGCGTGGTGTGTGTGGCACACACGTGCCCCTGTTCTCGCTGCCTCCCAGGCTGCAGCCCCATCGGTGTCATGGGTCCCTTCTTTCATCCTCTGCTCTTTTCCTCCTGTCCCTCCCTCATAAGATTCTCCCCAGCAGATCTTGTGCAGGGTGTGCGCGCGCGCGCGCGCGCACACACACACACACACACACACACACACACACACACACACACACACGGAGTCCCTTGCCTGCATATTCTCTCATTTCTGTCTTCTTTTCCCATTTTCTCTCAGGGGCTCCAAAAAACTGGCTTGCAGAGAGAAAAAGAGACCAATAGAGACTGACAGAAACACAGAGACACAGACAGGACAGACAGGGGAAGGGACCCAGCTGCAGACAGGAATGTGCTGGAGTTGGGAGCAGGAGGGAGGGGTGGGGAGATGAGCTCTCTGTCTATCCATCTGTCTGGCCCGTCCTGATTCTCCGTCCCCAGCCCTCCCTCTGGGGCTCTTCCCACCCAGTGCCTGACGTCCCTTGCAACCTGCCCCAGGGGATTCAGGGCCTGTGTCCATCTGTCTAGCCGTCTGTGTGTCAGCTTCTGCCTCTTGCCTCCCTCTTGCTGTGGTCTCCTTAAATGCCAGTCTCTGTCTTTGACTGTCCCATCCCCAGGGCGGGGCACATGTACGAGGGTTGTGTGTTTTGTATATGTGTCTGGATCCCTGTGCCAGCGGGTCTGTCTGTCCTGCCTCCCACTGCTCTCCCTTCCTTCTTCCCTCCTTCCCATTCTTGCTGCCCTTTCAGGGTGTGTGTGCATCTGCGTACTTGTGTCTCAGTGCCTGTGTCCCTCGCCTGCCCCCTTCCCGTCCCTGAGGCTGCCGAGACTTTGCCTCTGGGGCGTTTTTCTCCTCACTCCCCATGTGGCCCAGCCTCAGCTTTAGGCTTGCCTCTGGAAAGTTTCCCTGGTGACCATCCCCTGGACATATCACCCTCAACTCCCCTACTCAACTTACCTGTCCACTCCCACTCCCTCTGCCGCGGGCCCCACCATCCAAACTGCAGGCACTGGGCCACATGCCCAGCCATCTCTCGCCTACACTCTGCCACGGCCTTTCACTTCCTCCTCCCACCCCTGGCCCTGCTCACAATCCTTTGTCTTCCTCACCTGCATTCCAGACCTTTCCAGGCTGGCTCCAGCTGGCCCATGGCATCCTGATTCCCTGACTGTCCAGGCCTTGCCCACGCTGCTCCTTCTGCCTGACCCTAACCATCTTTTTCTTCAGTCTGGAAATCCCACCTCCTCTGGGAAGTCCTCCTGATTGCCCCCTTTCCTGGGCTCCCTTGTCTCCGGTAATGCCTACAGTGAGATCTGTCCTAACCTTGGCCTAGCATCACCTAGTCCCAGGCTGGGTACCCAACCAGAGTCCCATTATGACTTTTGTGGGCCCCTAGGCACATTTGCCCTTGCTAAAAAAAAAAAAAATTAAAAATTATATTTTACAATGACATAAAAGTGAATATTAATATTGCATATTAAAACACTTTCATTGAGCTAACAGTTTCTTGTTCTTCTGGTCTTAAGAGCAATTAAAGCATTTTCAGGGACCCCTAAAGTATCATGGGCTGAGCGCCTCCTCTGTGCTGGGCCTGGGCAAATGCTGTTCTTGGCAAGCTGTGTCTCTGCACCTTCCACCCTCTGTATCTTTCTTCTCTATTTTGTCCTCTGCAGTCTGCCCTTGTGTGTGCATCAAAACGAGATGGCGCGCGTGTGTGTGTGTGTGTGTGTGTGGTGTGTGTGTCACATCCCTCCTCTCTGTCCCTGTGTCCCTCTGTCCATCTTGTCCCTTTCTCCAAAGTCCTCCCATTCATTCATTCATTCCCCTGACAAACACGTGTGGCCCTTTTGTCTGCGTGTCTGTCAGGGAGCAAGGGTCTGTCTGACTCCTCATCTGTGCTCCAGGCCTCCTGCCCTCTCCAGTGCACAGGCTCAGATTTCCAGTGTGGGCTGTGCTCCCAGCTCCCCTGCCCCTTACCTGCCCACCTTCCCCTCCTCCAGATTCAGGGGTCATTGCCATCGGCTGGGAGGTTTGTTTCCTTTCACTCCCTCGGCTCTTCCTAAAACACTCATCATGAAGCAGCTGCTCCTGCTCAGCTGTGTGTGTGTGTGTGTGTGCGCGCGTGTGCACTCACCACTGCCCGCCCAGCTTCCCCTATCTTGACTACTCCAGATGTGCTTGCGCCTGTCTTTCCACCCCCTCCACGTCTCCCTCCCCTCCTCATCCACCCTCTGCTTTTCTGCTTTGCTTTCACGCAGGTGTGTGAGTGTTCGTCCACTCGCTCACTCACTGGCTCATT